TAAGCACTTTTGTACCTTGTTGCTTATTCAATCTACACGAAAATTCTTATTTAATAAATCATTTAGAAGTAAGAAATACCTTTATTTTTGTGCGTAATGTAGCAGGAAAGAAAGGTGCCTTGAGTTCATATTATAACTAGTGCTCAATCATTCTTTCATAGTTGGCTCTTATTCTTGCCACATGGCATTGTTGTGAATAATATAGTCGCAATAAGGAGTGATATTGATAGCCACATTATGTTTTAGCGATTATAGAGAATTGGTTCAAAATAAGAGTACTTAGTAGAACTATGATATGAGTGGAATGAGAAATACATGGTCATTTGTATTCTACGGCAATTGGTATGTTGTGTAGGATATGTGTAGGAATCCGTTGTATTGACCAATACGTTTTCTGTTATCTCGAATCTTCAAAGCTGTTTAAGTAGTATGATCTATATTTGCCTACAATGTTTAGGATATAGTCATGTATGTTCCAAAATAAGAAGATATTTGTAGAGACTATGATTCAATAATTAAATTAAATGCAAGAATATTGGATTCTATCAAGCCCCTACATGGGATTGTCGTGATTTCTTTTCCTATTGTGATACATATTTATGGATAGTGATTTTTGTAATAATAATGTTTCCTTCAAGCACATTATCAATCCTCATAAACTTTCTCAATGCTACGCTCCATATTAGTGGATTTGATATTTCTCTGCAGGTGACTATTGATTTTTATATGTTCGCTCTCAGATTATATCAGGGAGTTGCAACTCTTATTGATACTTGCATAAGAAATAAAGTCTGGAGAGTTCTACTTTCCCACCTGGGTGTGCAACTTTGTTGCTACATCTTTTCTATATAGGTCTGTGGAGTTTTGGGTTGGAAGATGCTTGAGAATTCAACCTTGACCAAGATTTTTCTAAGAGTTTCAAAGAGACACACAAATTTTAAACATTTTTTTAAATAAATTAATTAATATATATTTAAAACATTTATTTATAATTATAATACATATTTTATTATAAACATTTGCCCTCAAACCATTATGAAACATCTTCATATGACCCCACCACTCTATGTAAGCCCTCTATGCAAGGAAACTCAAAAGGTTATATAAACAATAGCTAGAAATTATTTCCAAGAGATGTGGGACTAAATAAAAGAGTTGAGGCGCGTATGATTTCATAACATATATTTATTATTTATTACATCTTCCATTTCGACCCTGATTAGATCGGTTGAACTGTGAACATCTACTTTTTTTAGTTCGTTGTCCGGTCCGATTTTCATAACCTTGGATTATCCTTATTAAAAAAATTTTAGGATGGGTTTTAAAAGTTTTTAGTCTACTCTAATCAGTTTTGAGATAAATAAAATAAATAAATAATCTGTATTGCACTTATCTTAAAAAGATATTTTCAAATATTTTAAAATTCAACTCCACTGAAAGCTTGATCATGACATCCTAACTTTTTTTTTTTCATAAATTAATCAAATAAGTTTAAGCGGAAACTCAATTAAATGATTTTTTGGCTTATCTTCATTTCACCCATTAAAACCCCTCACTGTTTCATTTGTGTTAAGATTAAGGTTGCCCAAAGTTGCTTTCAGCTTACAGTTGCCCCAAACTCCAAAGGTCTACAAAACGAACAATTATTAGGTCCGGGTATTTACTGAGTATTGTTAGGTATTGCTTGGCAATAACGAGAAATACCGCTTTATGAAGATCAATACCGAGTAATACCGAGCAATACAGAGTAATACCGAGTTTTTCTAGAAAAAACTCGGTATTGCTCGGTGTTGCTCGGTTTTACTCGATATTGTTGGATATTTGTCTTCACATAATAGTATTTCTCGTTATTGCCAAGCAAGTGCTTGCTATGTGACGCCATTTAGTGCCGGCCAAACGTACTTTCACGGACCAAATAAAAGTTCCTACAAAACACACCTTGTTCCCCAAACCAAAAGTAAACGAACCCCTAAAAAAAAAACTCAAGAAATAGAAACAAAAATCAGAAAGCAGAAGAGATTAAACCTCCATAGAGATCCACAGTGCGGGTAAAATGGGGAACGACGCGGTCAACTATTCTGTGCGAAAGCGGCAGAGGCTTCCGGCGAGCCTCCCCAACGAGATTCCCAATCTCCTTAAGATCACCGTAGAGTAAGCGATACCTGCTTCCTCGAATCCCCTGCGCCCTCAGCTTGCGTTCCAATCGCCGTGGCTGGAACCATAACCACTCCGCCGCCGACCATCCGACCCAACCCGCCGCCGCCAACGTCACCACTGTCGCCGCGAACGCCAACAAATACCCCAACTCCATGTCGCAGCTTCCGAGGAAAAGTGTTCAAGAAGGTTTTCTGGCTTTGAGCTCTCTTATAATGTAAATTTAAAAGAAATTTAATATGCTTTAAATATTTTAAATTATTTAAATAGATGTAAAATAAATGTAGATAATTTGTTTTCATTTGGAGTAAAATAAATATAATATAAAGCTCTGATGGTAATAGCGAGTGGCTAGCAGCCGTCAGCTGATAGCGATAGCAGACGATGGAATTGACGATAGCAATCAATGGCTAATAAGGTGGTGGTGTGCGGAGAACGATAGTAGCAACAATGAAAACTATCGGGGGCCATCTGTGGTAGCCCGTGGCAAGCTATGATGGCCAAAGATTGTGTTTGGTGATTAGCGGTTTTGACGATAATGGCAGAAAATTTACAAGTTATTTGAAAAATTGGTCAAATGTAACATTTTCTAGATAATAAAATTGAAATAGAAAATGAATTTTAAGTGCTTAAAAATTTATTCTTCATTTTTTTTACTTCAAACTATAAACATCATTATATTTTTCAAAATCCTTACATCTGCAATACTTAACTCTATTTTACTTCAAAACAAATGGCCCTCAACATCATTGAAAAAAAAAGACTAATAGGTCTCGAATTGATATTGAACTGCCACAAACTCAATCATTTACATGCAATTTATCTTGGTCCATCGAGCCCTCAAACAAAAAATTTTGTGTCAATTTTTGTTTATAATACAAACTCCCCATTGAGTTGCTGGGGACGGAAGGGATTTCTATTTACCTCCCTTTGGTGTATGAGCTGCTTCTAGGGATGTGGCTTTTGTTATATGCTGCGGGTAGCTTCCTGTTGCTCTCTTCATGTTTTGGTCCTAGGAAGGTTGCATAGGCAACCTGGGGCTTGTTATTCGGCTGGTTTTGATACTGGATAATGATGTAGCTGCTAATCATCTCTTTGGACGGCCTTGCGGGCAACCAGGGGATATCTGATCAGTCTCGTCGGTTCTCAATTGATTTATGTATTGGATTAGCAGTCTGAGTCATGTTTGAGTTTTTGCCTCTTTTTGGTAACTTCTTATCTTTGTTCCAGAATCGTTTTTGGATCTTTTTGGGATGTATAGGTTTTTGGTTAGACTTTTCCTTTTGTTTGAGATATAATATTTTTATTATACCTTATATTTGTAACTTACTTTACATAGAAATATATGGGCTTTGACCCTCAATTTCCCAAGAAGCAATTTTTTAGAACAAAAAAAATCTAATTCAATTTTTTTTTTTTTTACAAAAACTGTTTAAAAAATCAATAAGAAAGATGTCCCAAATAAAGCAAAAATTTGATTGGATCAATCTTGGCTGTTTATTTTTCCTTAAAGCAGATTTTTATTATAAAAATTTTTCGTTCAAGAAAATTTTAAACTAAAAATTTATTTTAGGAAATAATTAGAAAATTATTCAAACAAAATCTAAATAATATAAATGGTCCTAATCATACTTAAGCACATCCATTTTAATCTATTAAGTCATTGAACATATCAAATTTGAGTTGATTTAATCTTATCGTTTACATTATTATCTAGTTAAAAAAAATTGATGGAGAAATAATTTCAAGCAATCAGCCAGGCATTTTAGATTATTTATTGTCAAATTTAGTGCCAGTACAAAGTAGAAAAATTGATATCAAGAAATTAAAAATACACTCATGAAAATCATCTCTTAACAGCCGCTATTAGCCCTCTAACTCACAAACCCAACCCAAAACAGCCACTACCAATCCTCTAACTCACAAATCCAACCCAAAACAATCCACTACAAGTTTTCCAACTCAAGAATTCAACTCAATGAGCGAAATTTAAATTAAAAAGAGAGAGAGAGAGGAAGAGAAATATTGTGACTTGATCCCTCGACACAAGCGTCGTCGCCTCACTCGTCAAGGTATAATACTCGTTAAGAATGCATTAAGTCACCACAGAAATGCATTATGCAAATAAATCGTTTGTGTGGGTTAAGCAACATGTGGATGTCTCACGCGAATGCATTACAGATATCATGCAAATACATTATGTAACTCGTGCAAGTGCATTATACCAATCAGTAAATGCATTATGCAGTTATGCAAATGCATGATGTTATTTATGCAAATATGACAATCAAATAAATATATTATGCAAATCTTGCAGATATATCATACCAATCACATAAATGTAACAAGTAAATCATATAAATGCTTTGTGATATAAATATGATACATATCATGTACATCATTCCAATTTTAATTTCAAAAGTTTTCAACTTGATTATTCCTCAAGATTCGTGCCCGATCAAGATAATTTTTTTAGGATGTATCAATAATAAATTCCAAAAAAAAAAAACATTTTGAACTCATAAAATTCGCTCTCAAAGATTATCATCCTTGATTCCCCTTCAAGTTTACTATGATGTGGGCATCTCATAACCTCACGATAGGAGCTAATGACCTCCTTGTAGTTGCTAGAAAGAGTAATGACTTCAACAATCAACCACCCCCTCATCAATCATCATTATTACTTGCAGCCTTTCTAACACTGACTTGAGCATCAATAGCTGGCAATCTACCTCTTGTCAAAATCTTGTTGGGATTCTTCCAAAAAGATCTTCAAGTAGTTTCTACTCCAACATTCAATAGTAAATATATAATCATCTCCAGATCTACATCTTGACAATAGAAACTTAAAAAAACTCAGAGAGATAATGAATGGTTTTGTTTATATGTACAAAAAGAAGTTTTTGAGATATTTAACAGGCATTAATGAATGTATGTGAAATGTATAGTTTAAGCGTATCATCTCTATATACAATATTAAATTTAATTGAGTATATTAAACAAACAGACAAACAGTCTAAGCAGCCTCATTTCAGCGCTCTCTCCTATCCTTCTTGCTATCTAAAGCTGAAGTTTTGCAGATTGGGCACAAATTCTTTATCAATAACCATTGCTTTATGCAGTCAGCGTGATAGGCATGACCGCAGTCAATACTTCCTATGATCTCATCCTCCTCATATTCTACCTGCATTACACAGTCAGTTCATTATCAGTATCTTTAGTTAAAGTAGTAATACAAAGTAGCACGAATTTTGATGCATTACCTGGCATATACTGCACGTTTCATTCTCCTTTAATAATTGGGTCAGGGGTTCTAATGACAAGGCTGTTTCTTGAGGAACATAAGTCTTCATCTTTAGGTGTTTGATGATGAACTCTTCTGACAACCCAGTTTTAACAACTCCAATCTGTTCCTCCAAAGCTAGAAGCTCCTGTTAAGAGAAAAAATAATAATAAAGGCATTCTAATTAAAGTTAAGTAATATTTCATTTTTTAATCGTTTATTGTACCTCATATGACATGTCATCTATATCTAGTCTCATATCTTCGTGATGGTCGATAGCATTCACGACGCCATAAAATCCTGAAAGATCCATCAGAGCAGCATCCTACAAAGTAAATGCCCGAGCACACAAGCCAAAAAAACAGGAATATTAGTAGATGCCAAACTGTCTTTATAGGGTCTGATTCAAGGGCAATTCATTAAAATACGGGAGAAGTAATAAACCTTCACTGCTATCAACTTCCCAGGATTTTACTGCATTGCAAACTAACTGAAAAACACTTGAGTCTTTAGTTTGTTGAAATGAGTCAATCAAGTTTCAAGTCCCTTACCCTTTTGAACCTATAAAAACCCTTATTTAAGGGGAAAAAAAAACAAACTAGACCCAACTAGTTCAACCAAGCCAGCTCCTCTCCAACCTGATCTCCATGATTGCTAGGGGTGTAGATAAATAATCCGACCCGAAAAATCTAGATTTGAGTTAACCCGTTTAATAAACAAGTCAAGTTCATATTGAGTTTTTCAACTCGTTTATAAAACATGTAAGGTTTGAGTTAACCTGCAAACACATTTTTTTTCCAAAAATGATTTGTTTAATATAATTGTTTCTTTTTTTTTTCATGTGGGTATAATCTTATTGTTTTTTATCAAATATCATAAATTCTACAGTTAATAAGTTACAAAAAAATTTATTTAATCAAAATAAATTAACGGGTCAAGTTCGGGCATTCAAGTTGCTAGTTGTTTTTGACCCATTTATTAAACAGGTTGGGTTTGAGTTTAACTGGATTTTGGTCAGGTCAATTTCAAGTCGAACTCAAGCCCGACCCAACAACCCTCTTTGACACCCCTAATGACTACCTCCTCATGCCCCTATTTATTTAGGAACCAGGATTCCTAGAGCATAGCCAACAAAACAAGCGGATGAGGGCAAGAGAGTGGGAGAAAGAGGAGAGCGAGCAACAAGCAAGATGGTGATCAATCAAAAATAGGGCAAAAGATGGAAGTCGGCTCGTCGCGTATAGCATATGCAAGAAAGAGAAAGGAAGAGGATATTCAAGTTTCATATTTGACAATTGTGGCGTCTTCGACAAGTCCATCGATGAAGAAGCTAAGGGAGGAGATTGGGGATGAAGTTTTGTATATTCCCTCTTCTTCTTCATCTTCATCTTCATCTTCATCTTTATCTTCATCCTAAACTAAATTATTTCTCCTAACTTAATATTACCATATTCTACTAAGGATGTTTGGGATAAAATAAACCACAAATAAATTTTAATGTTCATGTTATTATAAAGGTTTTATCTTTTTAATATATGCATTTAACTACATAAATTATTACGTAGGATTTTCAAGCGATAACTTGGAAGATGCCAAGGTAGAATTTTAGTGAACTATATGTATAAAGGAAAGATTGAGCACAAGGATTATAAATAAATCTAAAACAATTCTATAAGATGTGATTAATGGAAGTTATGGCTGTTTAACTCATCTTATTTTGCACATAACTACATAATGCACATAAATGCTTAGTGGTTGAATTGATCTTAGGATGCAACATGGATCTTATAAGCATAGTGTTAATAATATTAAATGATGAAAATATTAAATTACTAATGTTTATGATGGATTAAATATGAGGGTTTAACTAGGGGGAAAATTATAAATTCATTAATTACAAGAACATGTCTAATTGATTATTTAAGTCATTAATGCTTTGATGTCCAATGCCATGAGTGAATGATTGATTTAGAATCTTTTGAATCTAGGATATGGAGCACCATGTGTTGAAGCAAGAAGATCAATGCATGATCAAAAAGCAGTTGTTTTTAGCCTTTGTTCGGCAAGTGACTATTTACTAAATAAGGGATAAATATATCCTTCCTTGTTAGAGGTGTATTTCTTGCTACGAGTGATTTGCTTTAATTATTAAAAATATATTGTGGAATGATTTTGTTTATTCATAGCATTTCACATGATCATTTTTACATGATGAGATAGTTAGCTTTTTAATGTTACTAGTTGCACAAATTCCATGTACATTAAAAATACATTATTCCAATAGCTGAGAAATAATTCTTGCACACCAATCATGAACTATGTTCTTATATAATTGAGTTTAATCATGTTATAAACTACATTAAAACTATTATCATAATATAAAATCTATATAATGTATGCTTGTGTTCGAGTATGAAGCATGTGTTGTCAATTAAATCGTTTTAGATGTTAGTTAGCTAAACATGGCATCAAAATGAAAACTCTATTAGAAATCAGTGAATTTTCATGGGTTTCTTTTATCTTCCTGGTTTTAGGATGACGTAGTATATCAACTATATATATAGTTGATAATTATAAAATGATTACTGAAACATTAATGAATGTATAAATACAGCATGTTGTAAGTAGATGTTTTAGTATTTTAACACAATGATCATTTGCTTGCATATATAAATTTTTATGAAGTCTATTAAATAATAAGCATTGTTAAATAAAATCCATATTTAAAAATCCTATCTTTAATGCATTGCCTAAAACTACTATGTATTATGTTAATTTTTATTTCCATCCATCTCTTTGCTAATATTTATGCCTCATGCCTTATCATTTATATTTTACACAATGGAGCTTCATCTATTGAGTTTGTTTAGCACAAACTCATATCTATTATTTTATTAATTTTCAAGTTATGCATCATCTAGACGAGAGCTTTTAGACTAATGTTTCATGTTCATCTTTGAAGGTTAACCCTCCATCACTCCCTCTACATACACTTGACATTACTTGTAACCTTATTTTTTTCCTAGAAATGTTCTTGGTTTATCACCTTGCATGATTATAGAAGCTGATGCCGTATAAGCCCATCCATATAAAACATATGATGATGCAAATCTAGATCAATTTCAATTTACCTTTATAACTATTAAAATTAAATACCCACGTGGCCAACAGACGGGCTTTTTGAAAGTGCATAGTGTATAGGGATAATAAATTAAACCTTTAGTAGAAGTTTAAATCAACCGGGCCCTTCAATAGACAAATTACCAAAAGAATCAAAAAATCATGCTGCACTAGCTAAAGCAAAAGAGAAAATTGTTGAAGTTGCATAGCAAATAATACCACAGATTGTGATGAGAGTTGAGCACAGGAAACATATCTAACTTGTTACCATGTACAGAGCAGGAGAAGAGAAACAAACTAGAAGGTATGATATCATTAAATGGGTGTGCGTTAAAAAATGTTTATATTCCTCACATTGCACAATTTTTAACAAACATCATTGTTGTTAGCATTATAATAATTTTTGCAAACATTTTATTTTCCATTGCTTGTTGGTTGTGCTTCCTTGTTGTACTAGTGTTATCAACTCTATTAAATGCAATAAAATATTATTTGCATTCTATTGTTTCTACTCTTTATAATTGTTTGCATAGAAACTTTCTCTTGTGAGGACAAAACATGTTTAATCGATCTTGACTTTGAAACTTACTTTAATAATTGAGATTAATCATTTCATTATGTCCCGCATCGTCAGAGTATACTGTCTACTGGACCCAAGGTCTGACAAGAAAAATCTGTTTGAATATGATCTATCACTGGCAAACTATAGAATCCCATGGAGAATGATTTTCCCTGTTGTAAAATAGACTTCGCCTCATCTGTATGGCACGCATAGGTATTCATGAGTAAGTTGGAGAGAGAGAGAGAGAGAGAAGGGGGTGTAAACGATTGTGTTTGCAGTTGGCTCACTAATTTTCTCCCTTTCCTTGAGAATAAAGAAAACAAAAAAGCCAACACGGGTAATGCCCTTATCAACTAGCTAATATGCTGCCTAAAAGTTGCATCGCATGCATTAATGGGATGGAATCTATTTATGACGCTCAGCAAAATAGTTTCCAAACACGAAGCTTCTTGTCAGATTGATGCATTCATACTATTTTTTTTCAAGCTAAACATTATAAGGTAGAAAGGAAAAAAACACAAAAATTAGAGAAACATGATTCACCTCAGCTGAAAGGAGCCTTAAACTCCCACCAAAAAATTGTTGAGCTGGTTGTGGTAGTTGCCGAGGCCTATAAGTTTGATCAACACTAGCAGAAAAGTGTGGGAATGTGGATCCCACATCCATACCATCAGCTGAAAGATTTGAGTTGGAGCTCAAGTTGTTGACAGGGTGCTGGTAGGGAGCCGGTATGTGTGCATGATGGCTGTAACCATGAACTTGCACATTATGGGTAGCTGGATGAAAATTAGGTATTGAAGATGGATGTAGGAACATCGCTGAATTTGTGGCAGATGAATTAGAATATGCCTGCATATTTGTGCTTGCCTGGTGCAAACGCCCTGGATTTAGGTTTCTCCCTGAGTCCATTTGTTATGATTAGATATTCAACTTTGACACATACGGGGGAATTTAAATAACAATTGGATATGAAAGATTCAATTAGCGTTAGAAGTACAAGAAATACCAAGGCTGTCTAAACCTAAAAGGTTAATAATTATCAGATAAAATGAAATGTAATAATTAACTAAATGGTATATAGAATTTAAAGCAACAGCAGGAAAGAACAAGATTAGGATACTCTAGAAAAGCTTATCCGAGAAAGAAATAGGACAATGGATGCTCGTTTTAGCATAATGCATTAAAAAAGATCTTACCTTGCAAGAATCTAAGAGTATTGTTGTAATTCCAATTGACGCCTCCATTAACAATGTTATTCCCATTCCCATACTGTGAAACCCAAGCATTATTGGTAGGCTGGAAGGGGAGCATCATATATGACCCTGGAAGTAAGCAATTTTGATGAGGTAGGACAGCAGACTCTGGCTGAAGACTACCGGTAACTGATCTGCTCCTTACACTTCTGTAAGATCCTTCGGCTCCTGGCAGAGAAGCTCTCATTCCATATTCCGAGGGAGTAAGACTAGTTGGATCCATAATACCAGGCACAGATTCATATGATTGTCCCCACAGTGGTACTCCACAGTTGGAGTGATACGTAATAGTTGAACTTGAGCTTGCTGAGCCATTAAGATTGTTATAGATTCCTGAAATCATTTCTGTATCCTTTCTTTTGCAAGGCCTCCTATCGCTATCAACAAGATGATTATGGCTACCAAATTCATCCACGTTAATTCCATTGTCCGTTGGGTTGATGTTGGAAGGCAATTGTTCAGCCATCAAATTGCTCTGATGAACAGGGAAATTTCTGCCAGCGGGTGCAAGCAACATATTAGAGTTATAAATGTTTGATGGACCAACAACACCTAAACCAAGATTTTGGAAAGCATGACAGTTCTGAATGTTATACTGATTCTGATGTAGCATGAACGTTTCATGATAATCCCTAAATTGATGAAAAAAATCCACACTATTCCCTGGACCTGAAAGAGACGGATGACAATTTCTACTTGTATAATCAGAAGAATTTCCAGTAAAGCCATGGTCGCGATGAAGACAACTATCCCTTGGTTCTGAGTCCAAATCAAACATCTGCTGCGTGCATAGCGTGCTTCTCTGCCCCATGCTGATCAACTAGCTTGTGCAATTATTTTGAACTCAAAAAGCTGGTAACCTATGGTCACAACAAATCAGCCACAAAACAGAGAAACCTGTAATGTTTCTGTAGAATCAGGTACACCGTCACAAATGATGTGCGACATTATCATAGTAAATTTTGAATGCAATAGAAGTGGTGAGTACTTAAGAATGTTCAAAACATTCTGCAGATAAAATTTTGTGCAAGTGACAACAATTGAACGGTTAAAGAGCCCCAACAAACCGTCGCAGAGTTGCACATTCCATGTTTTCCATATAACACCTACAAATAATTCTACAAGATACATCATCTTGGAGCTACAGTTAGTTCCTACAACACCTCCCGAGATTTATTAAAGCTAAACCAGCTAATAACAAAGAGATGTATCATAGATAAATTCTGGATCACAAAAATCAGATACCAGGGATAACATAAACTGGTCGCTTTCAAGACATAGGTATCAAGCATCACGTAAGACATTAGGCATCTCATGCCCAGGCCCACGATAGACGAGAGTCTCATGGGCTAGAAATGCAATTTTTTTTTTATAAAACAACTTAACAGGCAGTGAGGCTAATAACCAATTTGTTATTTTCTTCATGTCCGCCTTTTTCTGGAACTTCATGGAATGCTATCTTTAAATTGTCTCCTTCCTTGGGTTGGTCCGCCTCAAAAAACTGTAAAATATAAGTTTAAATTTGTTGGATGGCCTAATTAGATCAACCCGCAACCTAAGAGATCTGAGTCTGACTTCTAAGCCCTATCAAAACCATTCCTTACCAATTCAGATGCAGTAGTTACTTGAAATAAACGTCCATCAAGCCCCTCAGATTGGGTTTACGTCATCATCTAGATAGAAATTTTTTAAAGTTGAAGTAGGGGTTTATAGGGATAAAGGTGCAAAACCACCCTTATTTCAATTGAAATCAGAAATATTTATGTTTTGATGTCTCAAATAATATATCTTTTCATGGCTTTAGCTGAGGTTTTACAATCTCCTGCAAGCTTCTACTAGTTTAAAACAAAATACAGTCATATACTCATATTTCCTAGTTTACTACAAAGGTTTCTAAATAGAACAATTTTTTAGCTCAACATTCCACCATTATTACTTTGGGTTTAGGTTGCAGGAGAAGGAAAAGGTTTACACCTAGCAAAGCCAAGCCCATCCAGACTGAAAGTCTAAAATTCAAAAATGTTATCAAAATGCAAAGTTCAGCTACCCTAATAAAAAAAACCTTTTTCAATGCGTACCAACCAAGAACAAATATGATACAACGCTCAAAGTAGTAAAAAAGACCAAGCACCATAAGAGGACCCTAATGTTTCCATGATTTGGCCAAAACAACAGCCTGCATTCACAGGAGAATGGAGAGGAACCAATCAAATGTCAAAAAAACCCCACATAAACAAACAATAGGGCATAAATAAATGCACTGGCAAACCCAATTATACCCAGTTTAATTACAAAACGAAGCCCCAAATTTCTCTACCCAACAACAACAACATCAAGCCTTTATCCCACTACGTGGGGTCGGCTACATGAATCCTTTTTCTCCATTGTGTCCTATTAAAAGTCAAATTCTCATTTAAATCTAATAAAGCATTCTCTACCCAACAAATGGAAAAAATCCTAATACCTTACAGAAGTACAAGAAACAGGAAAAAACAACTGCCATATACAATTGCAATTTGTAGGATGACCTACTCCTAGGGAACACATTCCTCACCAAATCAGATCTATTGGTTACTCCATTCCAAAAAAGCATTCAAATCATGCTTATCTCACCTAGACCTGTACATCAAACAGGTGATTTTACACTCTCAAGAAAACTTATAATAACAAAATAACAAAATAAAAGCTCAGATTTCATAGTTAATTGGAAAACGTTTCTAAATAGAATAATCTTTTTGCTCAACACTCCACTCAATTGCATAAAGTTGAGGTTGTGGGATAAGGTAAAAAAGTTTACACCTAGCAATGTACAGTCAAAGCAAGTCCAACCACAGTGAACCAATCTAAAATTCAATAACTTTAACAAAAGACAAACTACGACAGGCCCCACAATAAAAAAAAAACTATCTTTTATGAAAAATACTACCAAGAATGAAGATGATGAATGCTCAGAATAGTAATAAAGAGATAAAAAACTACAAGGCAGGTCAAAAAAATATCATAAATTTACAAAATAGAAGATAAACCAATCCAGTATCACAAAGCCACACAAGTGTATAACCAAATATGGCAATAAAATTAACTTTCCAAAACCCAAGCACACCCAATCTCACCAAAAAGCAAAACTCCGAATCTCTAAACCAAAACAAAAACCTACTAATATCATATAAAAGTACAAAAACCACATAGAGGCAAAATAACTTTAGAGAAGTGATACTATAAGATGTCAACTTGAATGCTCCTTGAAATTTTTGCCTCTCTTCCTATCACAATTTTTTTCAATTTCTCAGGAACCGCAACTAACTACAACCTAGAAGCATGCACAAGCTCCTTATTTCATCCTTCTAACTCAAAGAGTTTAAGATGGTGGAAGTAAAAAGATAATTTAAATTTTGATTTCGAGCTAATCCATAATAACAATTTTCTAACTAAACAATGAGCATGTTATTATCCAAGAAGAAAAGTATAACCAAGATTTATCCCAGATTCATTTGTTTTGAATTTACGCATTATCATATAATATTAGTTAGACAATATATTACCCAATTCTCTCCCATGACTCAATAATGTAATAATGCATTTCAGATCTCTCAATTAGCTATGCCACAAAAGTCATTGGTCAACAATAGCAAAAAGAATATCGTTTCCCACAAAATAATAAGCCGTAAATGAATACCAGATCATGAACAAGTTAGTAGGCTATTGGCTACATGACAACAATGCTCTCTAAAACATTTCAAGGAACGAAGTAGCCTTGAAGCAATTCCTCAAAGCTTAACCCTTTGAATATTAAATTTCATTTTGTTAAATAAAAAACAACCTATATCACTAGCAAATAGACATTTTGTTTAAAAATAGCATATTTTTTAGCTGCATGAAGAAAGGCATAAATGAAAAAGCATAATGTTTATTAAATAGAGAAATATTGGGATCCAACACCTCATTTACATCCTTCGCAATGTTTAAATTCTCAACTAAATCATCCACATACTACTCTCCTAAGCACAATATACTATCGAAGCTTAAGATAGTAATCTCAAATTTAGATAGGGGAACTTTATCCTGATGAAAGAACTAGGAGCCTGTGAATAGAAGAGTTTAGAAAGAAATGCCAATGAAGAAATATAATAAACGAGGACAATTAAGAAAAAAAAAGTCAAATAGAAGAAGATAAGGAAGAGAGCATGAATCTAGTAAAAATAATACCAACACTAAGGCCTCGTTTGAGACAGCTTAATTTTACCTCTTATTTTCGTGGTTTGAATGTGACGTATGCTTTTTTGGAAACTCCATTTCTTTACCATTTTGAGAAGCGTTATGGTAGTAGCTTCTCCGTTTAAAACCTCCAATTCTTCTATTGACGTTTTTGAAACGGAAAAGGTAAAGAAACTAAACAAAGCCTAAGAAGATGAGGTTGGCGATGGTGCCATAAGGTGTGAGTAACATCCAACATATAAGAGAATATAGTCCTATCAACTATACCCCACAATCTCAGCATAAATGTCTTAGAAATTTTACATCATCTCCTTGCCAGAAGAATGGAGCTTTTAACAACTTCAATAGGATGTCACCAACAAAATGAATTTGATCAAAATTCAAAGTAACTTATTGCGGACCAATTCTCAGATATCTATCAGAAGCTTAAGACGAATAAGTTTGTTTTGAGAGCTTCTTGTTGGAGATAAAAGATGCAAAAATTTAGATTTTGACTCAAAAAAGTTTACCCCATGGAGCTGAGCTCAATGTAAAGTTGGGAAAGAGGGAAATTTAGAGCATCTTTTAATGTGCCACCACTTTTTCTAATGAGTTTTTTTCATGTCAGTGTCACCCATGGATGTGAGGCTAATCAACAAAATGCTAATCAATATATATATGAAAAAGATTCCAGATTTGGGCAATAATAAGTTTTGAAATTTTGAAGTTCTTCACCTAGGTGGAGGCTAAAAAACCGACTTCAACTCTTATTGGATATCATAGTTACCTTACACACTATGTTTTACCCGATACTTCACCAGTTTTATTTTCACAATCATAAGATCAAGAAATTTAGATTCTTATTAAGATTCCTCGTCATTTTATTTTCTTATGGGAAAATTAGATCGTTTAAATTAAAAAAAATTGTAAATTATTCCGAGTGAAAATTTATGTACCCAACATCGATTATTAGTTTTAGACTTTAAGATAAAAGGGCAAAAGATAAAGAATAAAGTAAAATGATATTCTAGGATTAGATGGGGCTTTTAAAGAATATTAATAAAAATATTTTTTAATATGGTTTTAGATCTTAAGATTCCGTCTATACATGAGGATGCTAATGTTATATGAGAAAAAGTGGCTATGATATTAAGAATATTGCAAAAGATGGGCTTAGAGTATCAAAGAGAAAAGTTCCTAATAGTAAAAATAGTTGGTGGTGGAATCCAAATGTGCAAAAAAAGATAAAAAATAAGAAGATTTGTTATAAAAATTGGTTTACATGTTAAAATTCTAATAATTGGGAAATATATAAAGAGGCATGTAAGGAATCTAAGAAAGCAATATGTGATGCAAAGATCTTAGCATTTAATAATTTATATAATAGATTAGATGCTAAGGAAAGAGAAAGATATATGAATAAATTAACCAAACAAAGAGATAGGAGTAATAAGGATTTAGTTCAAGTAAAGTGTATTAAAGATGAAAATCAAAAAGTATTTTTCTTAGAAGATGATATTCAACAAAGATGGATGAGATATTTTGCTACACTTTTTAATGAAAAATGTGAAAATGCAATTGACTTTAATGACCTTGGCGCCCTAAATAAAAATAAATATTTATGTTTTTATTGACATATTAGTAAAACCAAAGTTAGAGATGCTTTAAAGAAAATGCTGTGTGGAAAAGCTGTTGGACCTGAT